CCGGGCTCTGTGCTGACAGCTCAGAGCCTGGAGCCTCCTTGGGATTCTGTGTCTCCCTTTCTCTTTTCCCCTCCCCCAGTCACACTGTCACTGTCTCTCTCTCTCTCAAAAATAAACAAACCTTAAAAAAAAAAAGTCAATCTTAGATTTTAAAACATGACCCTGGGGTGCCTGGGTGGCTTAGTCAGTTAAGCGACCGACTTTCGCTTGGGTCATGATCTCGCGGTTCGTGGGTTCGAGCCCCGCGTCAGGCTCTGTGCTGACTGCCAGCTCAGAGCCTGGAGCCTATTTCAGAGTCTGTGTCTCCCTCTCTCTCTGACCCTCCCCTGCTCACGCTCTCTCTCTCTCTCCTAGAAATAAATAAAAATATTAAAAAAAAAACATGACCCCAAATTCTTTGACTTTTATTTTAAATTAAGTTAATACAACTAAAAAATCAGGCAAACTAAGAAACTTAATATTCTTGGCAAACCATATTTTCAAACCTTCTTGCACTTCTCTACAGAGAAGACTGACTGAACAAACTTCTACAATAATAAAACCCAAATGATTAGAAAAGATGGCTTTATAGTACTAATTTCTACGGAGGTTTTACTTTTTTAAAAAAAAATCTAATTTTACTCCCATTTCCCTCATAAACTATATGGCACTAGCATTAACTAAGGGGAAAAACCTATTAAATCACGTTAGACAGTAAACCTCACTGTTGATACTTAAACCATAATAAGGTTTTTTAAAGAATTTAATCACTTGGGGCACGTGGGTGGCTCAAGTCCAACTCTGGCTCAGGTATGAGCTCACAGTTTGTGAGCTCAAGCCTAGACCGGCATCAGGCTCTGTGCTGACAGCTCAGAGCCTGGAGCCTGCTTCAGATTCTGTGTCTCCCTCTCTCTCTCTCTCTGTCCCTCCCTTGTTACTGGGCTCTCTCTCTCAAAAATAAATAAACTTTAAAAAATTAATCACTTACTTTACTAGCTTTAGACATTCAACTCTACCTGAAATGTAAATGTTGGATTTCTGTCCTATAATCTTTTCTCCTCTCATTTACACCTTTTGCCCCCCAAATCCTTTACTATCAATCCAGAATTTGATAATGAGCTCAAGACACAAATCCAGCTGCCGCCTGGCCATCAACATCTGACAGAAGTATAATCACCCAAATCCAACCTGTCACAAATAAATTCTTATTTGGCAAAAATAAAAATCCCGTTCCTCCCTCCTATCAATTCCCACTTCAGTGAAATGCACAAGTTAGAAACCTAAATCTTCTATGAAACTTCTCCCTAATCCCAAATCCAATGAAATCACCAAGTCCTGTCTACTTGGTGATTTCAAGTAGACAACCCAAATCCAGACTCACTACCATCATTTGCCTGCTATTTCTCCCCTTAGCCTTAGACTACCCTTTAATCCACCCTCCTCACTGCAGCCAGTGACCTTTTAAAAATGCAAATCTGATCATTTCAGTCCCCTACTTTATATCCTTCAATAACTTATTTGATAAATATTATAATCACCATCAAAGTTAATGAGTCACTCCATGAAAGCTCAGAGGTTCAATGAGAACTTTAGTTATATCCTTTTTCATAGGCTCAATACAAAAGAGTCACCAGGAAATTTTTTTAAATCCTGATAATTATTTACAACATACATGTAACAGCTGATACATTTAAAAGAAAAGCAAATAGCATTGTTTGTAAAAGCAAAGACTAAAAATAATCTCAAGATCATAAAAAGAGAATACTATCCAGCCCATGAATGTGGCATTTCCATATGTACTCTTATTGAATGAGCTCTAGGCTCTACTATTGAGTGAGAGGCAGGGGTGAGGTATAGAGTGTACAGTACGCAAGCATTTGTCTGTGGTGCATTTTAAGAATATATTTGAGAATATAAATTTTAAAAATCACAGGGAGGACTCACATAAAGATGGAAATAATGGTTGCCTCTAAAAAGTGAAAACAGGTGGTTGGATAAAGGGGGAAGAGAAACTTCTTACCGCATACTCTTTAGAACCTTCTGATGTATACTATGTCTAGTTATTGCCTATAATATTATCTTCTTCCTCCTCAGTTTCACACACACACACACACACACGAAAAATTTTTAAAGTACTAACTACAAAAACTTCACTGTACTTCATCCCTATCCAAAACTAGGTACTGATCATTTAGTGTATCATTACATTTCTTTCTTAACACCTCAGGAACTTCCACAAACTCAACTCAACTTCCAAAAGCAAGACTTTATTCATTAGTTCACTACTGCTCAGAAGGCTGTTGGTGATGACACCAGTCAACACTGCATGATAACTGTACTTGCTCCTTGGAAAAGGAGCAGCACCAGGTAGCAGAAATTTATTACTAAACTGACATTAAACTCTTCAGGGATTAAGGAAAGCTACAAGTCTTATTTTTCCAGAAAATTCAAAAAACAACACATTAAAAAAAAACAATCTCCTGTGTCACTCAAAAACATAAGAGAAAAATGTGCAAAAATCTTCAGGAAAGGGAAGCAAGTGAGACTACATGGAGACACAGTCACATCCCTTAGTGTAATGTGACTGAATTCTTATAGAGGTCCCCAAGTGTCAGATCGGGACTACCTCACACGTTCCACAGACGGCACAAGAGGGGAAGCAGGCTCTAAGACCTTGTATTCGCACACACACCCCCTGCCCTGGGCTTCTGCACTCTTCCCTGTCCCTCCCTCCTTTGGGTGTCAGTTGGTCCCCTTAAGTCCCACTGGGAAACACGAGGTTAAGCAAACACCCCTTCAGGATTTAAAGCAAAACCCTTTCGAGCAAAGAAGAGAAAGATAACAAGGTCTGCCTGAGAGAAGGACCGGGGGAGAGGCTGTCTGACGGTGTCTACAGAGGAGCTGACACCAGATCCACTAGGAGGAGAGAGCATCAAGAAACAGACTATCCGAAAGGCGAGGAGGGTAGGGAGGGTTGACTGGAAGCGAGCGGGGAGGGGTCCGCAGGCAGGGGGCGGGCTGCGCGGTCGGCAGGCTTAGGGGCGGCCGCGCCTGGGTCTCGGAGGAACTGTGACCGGGTCAGCTTACGGGAGGCCGTAACGGGGTCTGGAGGCTCCACGAGGAGTCCTAAGAGAGTCCGAAGGGGGTTCTAACGGGCTGTGCTGGGGCTGGGGGGCCGTGACAGAACAGCCGGGCGGGGGGGGGGGGGGGGGGCGGCTGGCGGGCCGGAATGGTGTCTGGCCAATGGAAGATACGATGGGTAGGATCTACCGGGGACCCGGCGCGGCGATCGGGTGTCTGGGAGGCTCCCGGGCAGACCCGCTCGCGGGGCGTCTCCGCTGGGGCGGGGCGGCCCCGCAGGAGCCAAAGAGCTAGACCGAGACGTGGGCCGGGCCGGGCGGCAGGGCCTCTGGGCGGCTTGGGCGGGTCTTACCTCGGGCTCCGCCGCGGTGGCCACTGCAGCCCCCTCTTCTTCAGGAAAAGCCACCTCCCACTCGCGGCCCCAGGGTCAGGCCGCCGGAGACAGTAGAGGCTGAGGCCACGGAGGGTCGAACGGTTCCGGGAGGGTGGGCCCAGCCGCCTCAGGGTCCGAGAGAGCGGCCGCCGCGCATCCCCCCCCCTGTCAGAGAGACTCCGCCCGGCCCGGGCAGGCACATCCCCCGCCGCACCCCGCCCAGAGAGCACGCGTTGGACCGCCGCCTCAGCCGCTGTCGCCGCCTCTGCCGGTGCCGCGGGTGCCTCCGCCGCCGCCTCTCACAGTCCTTGCGGTACTCTCAGCAGCCACCGCCAACCGCAGCTGCTTCCCTCGTCCGCTCAGGCCCGCGCGCCCCCGACCCCGCGCACGCGGCCCCGCCCCGCGCGACTCCTCGGCTGCAGACGAGCAGGCGCGCGCGCACTCACCTCCCACGCCCCCTACCGCCTGCCAGAGCCGGCCAGCCTGCCGGCCCTGCCCCCGCACGTGACGCCGCCGGAGAGAACGGCAGGCGCTTGCGCGGGCACGCCCCATTCGTCCGCCCCAGGCGGCCCCGCCCAAACTTTTCTTCCTCACCTTACGGCAGAGCTCGGAACCCTGCCTCAGAGTCTCACTGTAATAGAGGAATGTCGCAAGGATGGGGTAGAAAACTCTGGGTTTGCGACTGTAGCTCTCGCTTTCCGGCCAATACTGAGGTGCCTGAAGGCTGGTTGGGGTTGTGAGGCCCGAGGCAGGTAAGAAGCCGCCTCCCCACTTCGGTTGGTCTGGCGGTGCGTCCCGTCCCGGAGCCGCGTTGGGGCCCTAGCCGACTTAGCGTGGCCTTGCCCCCTCCCCAGTTCTGGCGCAGGATTCTCAGCGCCGCCCCTCTTAGCCCCCGCCCCTTCCCACACACACGCCCTCTCCTCTCGCGTTTCCCCGCCCCCGACCTCCCGTTTCCGAAGTCTCACTTTCCATTCATTCCTCGGACTTTTCACTGAGCGCTTTTTGGTGCTTTAGACTCTAGGAAGTTAGAAGCAAATGAAACAGTTTCGGCGCTCTGAAGTGCTGTGTTACATGGGAGACTTTGAGAGAATCCGCAGTGGTAATAAAGTAAAATTACAAGAGGGAAAAAAGAAACCCTCAGGGTCCCCTTTGAGCATAGAAGAGGGGCCCCTGATTGTATGGAAGGACTTGGGGAAACCTTTTCCAAGGTGACCTTGTGGCCACTGTTGTGTCAAAAGGCTAGGGAGCCTCTGGTCGCTAAAAATTTATGCGGGTCAGAGAAATAGGAGAGGAGACAAACAGACAGAATGACGGGCACCAAAGCCAATCATAGTATTTGGCTGTTAAGAGTAAAAAGAGGAATAGCATATAGCTTGTGGAAGCCATCGGTGTAGATTACCCTTTAAAAGAAGCATCATAGTAAAGATCGTGAGAGAGATGAGGGGCGGGAATGTGGGCCGCAAGAATGTTTTCTTTAAAGGTGGGAGACTTAGCCATACAAGTGGTCCAGTACCGTGGAACCCAGAAGTGGACAATTCATGGAGAAGGATGGCTGATTGATAGCTTCAGGAGCTCTAGTGGAACTCAACCTTGTATGCACGTTAGAATAACCTGAGAAGTTTAAAAAACAAAAATGCTGTTGCTCCAACCAAGACCGATTAAATAGACTGGGGTTAGGGCCCAGGCATCAGTTTGTTTTGTTTTTTTTAAAGCTCCTGAGGTGACTAATGCTGAGGGTTGAGAACCACCAAAGGAAAGGATGGGAAGTAAGGAGGGGCAGGAAGTTGATGGCGTTGGTTCAGTAACATTAAGATGAGAGTTATTTGATGACAGAGAGTGGGGATGGAATGAGAAGCTTAAGCAGAGTGCTGGAAGTTTTAGATAACCACTCTGGGAAATGGGAAAAAAGATGTCATTTTTGCCTTTCCCTTCAACACAGTTACATCCCTCAGTGAAGTCCACCTCAGTTAGGGCTCTCTTTTCTCTCCCTTTCCCTGCTAGCCAGCATTTATCAGCTCGGGATCCAGCCTTAGGGCTGAATCAAGGGTATCTTGATTTCTATCCCCCAAAAAAAGATCAGAGCTATGTCAATTGGAGATTCAAAGACTAACTTTACTCCCCTGGAGATTACTGCATACAGTGTCTTGCCAATTTAGAATCTGTCTTTTATTATTCATTTCATCAATCATTTAAGTTAAGAATGAGGTATAAAGATAGTTAGGATATAGCCCCATTAAGACCTCATAGTATTAGGGAAAACAAATCTTTAAAAAGAATAATTCACTTGGCAAGCAGAGAGGTCTGTATAAGGCAATGCCAAAGCCAGTGAGTGCACGGCTACCGTCTATTAACTAGGGCTAATTCAAAAACCTGTCTATCTGCCTCCAAATAAGAGACAGTTACTGTTGTCTGGTATGACTCGGGCTTGATATGGAGAGTAGGGTGGGGCAGAGACAAAAATGATAAATTGGGTGTGAATAGATTCTGAAGATCCTTGAATTCCATGCTAAAGTGTTCAGATAATCTACTATAAGCAATTAATAGGTATAAAAAACAAAAATAAAATAACCTTTTTTGCACCACGGGACTTCTTTAGCAGCCTGGCCTGTGAACCCTATCTCAGAATAATAGTTTTAAATGTATAAAATAAAATGCAAAGAAATAAAACCAATTTTATTGAAAGTTTTAAAAATATTAAAACAACTGTATGATGTAGGTTTATTTGTGCTTCTCTATGCATTAAATAACATCTGGCAGCAGGTCTAATTACGTAATTTCAAGACAGTGATGAGTATAAGTTATATTTTGAGATACCTATAGTAACTTCAATGTGATATGAAAATGTCATTTCTATTGGTGACAAAGCATAAGGAATGCTAATGCTACTGTGGATTAGTATATACTTATTGAAGAAAATGCTAAATTTCAGCTAGAGATTACTAAAAATCAAGAATGCATTTTTTTCCCCAGTCCAAGTTCATGGAACCCTAATTCTAGCCACATCCTGGCCTCTGATTTATAAAAAGCTGACTGTAATAGTTTTAAGCAAGAGTATGACAGATCACTTCTCTGTTTCAGAAAAGTACTAGAGTAGTGTTCATTTCCGAGCCTCTCTGTGGAAGTAAGGGAACTGGCTATTTTCTTCTCCTCTAATATGATAGGGGCAGCAACCAGTACTAATCCACAGTTGCCTAATAATTTGGGCCTGCAGGAGTACTAAGCTTGTGCCTATTTATGTAGGAGCAGTACTAGGAAATAAATTGGGAAAGATAGGCTGGGGCTCTTTTTGTGGAAATCATTGAATGCCAAGGTGTAATTGAACTTAATTTGGCAAATAATGGAGAGATGTTAATATTTTTGGAGTATTAGAGTTCTGTTTGAAAAATTAATCTAGCAGTAATGTGTAGGTTGGATTGTCAAAAGAGAAGATAGGAATGAAAAGACCGGACCAATAAATAAATAATTTTTAACTAAATTTTACTATAAAGTGATCTCTAACGGGTCTGCTGAGTTCCTTCGTTTCACCAGTGTGACTGACCAGTCTAAAGAAACAAATTGAACTTAATTACATACCTTTCTACGGAGATGAGCTCACCAATGTGGAGATCCATTAGCATTTTACTTGTCAAGAGGCTAGCCCATTCTTTTGTGTTCTAAGTGATAATGTTAGTACTTCTGATAGCCAGTGGCTGTACCAAATGTATAGGTTCCCAGGTGTTGATAAGACCTTTCTTAGTTAAATTTCATCTACACTTGTAAATCCTACATTTCTGACTTTTTAAGGTCAAGATTTCTCTCTCCTTGTCAATCCCTTAAACCTCTTGGATAAGTAAACTGCATTAGCAAACAAGAAGGAAGAAAATCCTCAACACCCAGATAACCTGTCTCTTTAGAAACTGATCTATACTTGGGGCGCCTGGATGGCTCAGTTGGTTGAGTGCCTGACTTCAACTCGGGTCATGATCTCACCATTCGTGAGTTCGAGCTCTGCATCGGGCTCTGTGCTGACAGCTCAGAGCCTGGAGCCTGCTCTGGATTCTGTCTCCCCCTCTCTCTCCTCCTCCCATGCTCATGCTCTGTCTCTCCCTGTTTCTCAATAACAAGTAAATGTTAAAACAAAAAAAAAAATTTTCTAAGAAACTGATCAAAACCAAACTATGCAAAATTTACTGCCCAAATTCCAGCTAGTTCCCAACTTATATGTGCTTTGTTAAACATATTCAAGAAATTAATTATGGGGTCCAAATATTACTAATCCAAATAGGGAGGATAAAGTTAACTCTCTGAACCAGATTCTCTGACAGACTACTTTCTTCAGCATGACTAGCCTGTATTGATCTTGTCCATCTAACTTTTGGAGAACATTTGGATAGTGATATGGTTTAACAAACTGAAAATCAACTTTATATAGAAGTTGAGGTTCATATGTCTGTCGCCTTTTTAGGGGAACAGGGAAACAGGTCTATCTGAAAGCAGAAAGAATATTTGAAACTTTTGAAGCTTTTTAAGAATTTTTATTACAAAAGATCTCAGAAATTTCCTTTCTCTGGCTTCTAATTAAATGGCTACCCTTTCCACACCTTTATCTGTTATGAAAGCACCAAAACACAGTCCTGATACTGAAAAAAAATTGTCTCATTTACAATTATTAGTTTCAAGCATCTAGATTACAGGTTTAAAAACTTGAGAACTTCCTTTCCTTATGGACAGTGAATAAATAAATACTCTTTCAGAGTAGAGTGGTATGTTCAAGTACTCCTTCAAAGCAATAGCTTGGGGATTTCTGGCCTTAGTTGGCTCTAATTTTCTCACTACTATTTGTTGTAGCAACTTGACACTTTACATTAGCAGCTAAAATAAATAGTTGCTGGAAATGTTTAGCCCTATTTAATAACATATAATTCAAATTTGGTCAAGTAACACAAATATTTGTGTTAACAGTTAAAGACAAATTTCTAAGACAGAAAATTCTCTATGTATAATTGGGTCCCTTCAGATCCTGCTTTCCTATCAGGACAATACAGTAAATTCATTATTTTTTCATTCATTCATTAAATATTTATTGAGCCCTGGGGCACCTTGGTGACTCAGTCAGTTAACCAAGCTGACTCTTGATTTCAGGTCAGGTCATGATCTCTTGGCCTCATGGGTTGTAGCCTCGAGTCAGGCTCTGCACTGGCTGTGTGGAGCCTGCTTGGGATTCTCTCTCTCTCTCTCTCTCTCTCTCTCTCTCTCTCTGTCTCCCTCTCTCCCTCCCCCTCTCTCTGCCCCTCCCCAACTTGCTGTGTCTCTGTCTCTCTTAAAATAAATATATAAAAAACTTGTGCCAAGCATGTTTTTGAAACTCATTAATTAGGAGTTTGTAATAACAATTTACCTCTTAACTATCTATGAAAAAAATAATTTACTAGGCTTTGAAATCTACAGGACAAATAAGATTAAAACGTGATGAGTTTTTCATACTCTTTCAAACTGTGTTTGCATATTGTTATTGTATGCTGAACACAGTGGTTATTTATGAAATCAGGCAGATTATAACTTCAGCTTGATCATACCTTACTAGCTTTAATTTGTTTATACATATAATAAAATAAAATTCTGTCCACTTCTTCATAAAATGTTATCTTGCTCAAACCTCTCATTAAACCTATTGGCCTCCCTACACACTGTCTTTACAACCCCAGATATTTCAAATTTTGCAATTGTATAAAGTCATTTCTCAGAAGATTTTAAGCAAAACACAGTTTAAGAAAAGGCTGGTATTTACATCAAGTTTATAGTAAGGAAAAAATTGTACAATTAGAAATGGAACCTTTGAGTTAGAAACAGGAGACTGAAAATAAAATTATTTTCATGGTCAATGACCTCTTAGCCATTGATACTATGCCTAGTAACAAAGCAGTAAATAGAGAACCTTGGTGCTAGAACAAATTCTAGAATATCATCTAGTTTATCTCCCTGGCCCAAGGCAGGACCAAATGGAATTTATACTTAAAATACTTAAAAGTTAAGTATTATGATAGTAGAGTTAACAAGCATCATCATCATACCGGTGGTTTTTTTCTACTTTGAGAGCTGAATTCCTCTATTTGTAAAATATTGATGTCAAGAGGAATAGTGTTCAGTTTGTAAATAATTTATAAAATTTAGAAATCTTTCTATTTATAACAATTTTGTATTTTAGGAGAAGTGTTTCAAAATGTATTTTACTTCTGTATTTTATTCAGGAAAAACATTTATTAAATATTCCCCAGTTTGTCAAGCACTAGAGAAACGGGGATGAGTAAAATATAATAATCTCTGCCCTCAAGAGGGATATATAAGTCTTGATAGTAATTTTTACATTCCACTTTTTACAGATCTTTAGGTTTAGGCTAGCATTAAAAGGAAACATTTAATAGGGGGAAATTGAAACCCCAAAAAAAAGTTTGAACTTCCTTCCTGAAAATATTTCTGCTTATGCTGCCATGAAAAGCACATTTGATCTTTGGATTTGATTCTTTTTGTAAAATTGCAAATGGAATCATACATTAGAAGTTGGACATAATCTAATTTTAGTAAACAGATTAATTTTATATCTTTGTGTTTGAAGATTTATAGAAGAGAGATTAGACTTTCTCTCTTTTGTTTTTTCTTATTTTCCAGAGGACAGAAGAGATCAGTGAGTTGAAGAAACAGACATATTTTAGGTCAGTTTAAGAGTGGGAGATGGTATATCTTTTGTTTCCTGAATGGAAATAACTGTATTTGTTGGTTATATACTCATTATAAAAAGAAAGGGGGGAAATATAAAGCAAACAGTATTAAAAGGTAGAAGGAAAAAAGTTATGAAGTATTAATAATTCTCTTTTTAAAACTATGTTTAAACTTGGCTATCATTCTTGATTATTTTTGTGTATATTTTTCTTGTATAAATTTTTATATAAACTTCCTTTTCATAGCATATCATATACATCTTTCCATGACAATAAATTTGTATCTACAACTTTATTTTTTAATGACTGAAAATATTTCATTGTATGAAAATCTATTACTTAAATAAGTCCTCTTTTGAACTTTCAGATTGTTTCAGTTTTTCTATTATAAATACTGCTGTGCTGAGCATCCTTCTTAAATTTTTGCACACATTCTTAATATTTCCCTTAGATTTCTGAAAGTGTAATACTTTCACGTAGACATTTCTTTTTAAAAAAAATTTTTTTTTAAGGTTTTTATTTATTTCTAGGAGAGAGAGAGACAGCGTGAGCAGGGGAGAGTCAGAGAGAGAGGGAGTCACAGACTTAAACAGGCTCCAGGCTCTGAGCTGGCAGTCAGCACAGAGCCCGACGCGGGGCCCGAACCCATGAACGGCGAGATCATGACCTAAGCGAAAGTCGGACGCTTAACCGACTAAGCCACCCAGGCGCCCCCACGTAGACATCTCTTAAGAATTAAAATATAATGGCAAATTATGCTTCAAAAAGCTTATATTTGTTTATACTCCTGTCAACAGTGAGAATGCCAATTTTCCCATGGTCTCTCCGCAATGCTAGTTATTATCAGTTTTCCTCATCTTTGCTAATTTGATAGGTGAAAAATAAAATCTTGCTTTAACTTGATTTCCTTTGATTACTAGCAAAGTGTTGAGTATCTTTTCATGCATTTATTGGCCAGTCGCGTAAGTGTATTTAGCTCCACTTTCCTCTATTATTTTTCTTTTCTTAATATTTAAATTTTACTCCACCTAAAATATGATTTGATATAAGGTATGAGGCTGAGATCTAACTTTTTTTTTATCAAATGATTAACATGTTGACTCACTGCCATTTATTAAATAACTCAGCAAGCATATCTCAAACTTCACTACATAGCCAATAAGGTATTAATAGATATTCTGTTAAAAAAAAAAAAAGTGTCTCACAGTCAAATGAGTTTGGGGGGAAAAATGAGACCAAGAAAAGTTACATTTCCTTATTACAAAACTTCTAGCCTCTAATATGATTGTGTGCATTATGAACCTTCAATAAAGAGTTTTAGGATGCAGCAATTCTCTAACCTATTTAACCATATGAACTTATTTTTTTCTTTCAAGAAATACCTATGGAATCTGTGGAACTGTGCTGTCTAAAATAGTAGCCAGTAGCCACATGTAGATATTTAAATTTAAGTTTAAATTAAAATTAAATATTCAGTGTCACAGTCTTACAAGCCACATTTCAAGTGCTCAATAGCCACATGTGGCAAGTGACTACGGTATCAGACATTGCCAGTAAGGAACATTTCCATAATCATCAAGAGTACTATTGAACAGCACTCCTTTAGAACATAGTTTGTTGAAACTGACGTCCAACCTAGTGGTTTTTTACTGAACCAGCAGCTTCCTTTACTTATATCAGCAGGTAATCAGATTGGCTTCTATTGAATTGTAAATTTTCCCTTTAAGGTAGTTTTTATTACCTTTTATGTAATTACCTTTTTTTTGAATAACAAATATTCTAGTAATATACATTCTAAGGATTTTACGATTAATATGAAAAAGTATCTTCCTTTTGCTAAAATTAAGACTTTGTTTAGGAATTATTCTATACTATGGATTCAGTTTAGCTTCAGTTAGCTGTAGAAGTGGGAGATGTCATAAACTGTTATTGCAGGGTATGTGTATACTGACAATATATTAACATCATTGCTCCACTCAGGTCGAGAGAACAGTTGTCTCTGGAGTTAGCATTCACCCTTCTTCTACCAAAGGTAAAGCACAGAGCACAGAGTCCTGCCCTAGCTAAATCTATCCTTGATGATTTTGTGGCCTTATGAAAAAGACAAATGTGTTTTATTTTCAAGAAATTTCTAAGGCCCATTATTACCAGTCCAAATACAGGGAGCAAGGAAGAAAACTCTTTTTGAGAGCCTGCTATATATGTTAGATGACATGCTGAGTGTTTTCTCTCATGTTTTTATTTCGTGTAATAATCCTGTGAGGCAGGTATTATTGTTATCTCATTTTAAAGATGAGGAAAATGAGGCCCAGAAAGAGAATAAATAACTTGCCCAGTTTCACATACCTAGGCAAGTGGCAAAGTCAGAGGCTGGACCCAAAGCCTCCTAGCCCCAAAACATAGAACTATAATATATTTTGTAGGACTTTACAAATAGAAGTATGAGGAGGTTATTGTCTTCCCAGTTCACTCTCCAGTCTTCTTTACCACCCACCAAGGCCAAGTACATAGACCTTATTATCATTAAGTAACAGAGAAGAAAAGACAAAACACAAAACCAAAGCAGAAAAGGGGATGTTACAGATAATGCAGACATCTTAAGAGGCCTTTTTTCTCTTTTTTCCCCTAATCTATATTTTCTGATTCTTTTTTGAAATGTGTCATTCATCTGACAAACATTTATTGTACCTCAGATGTGCCAAGCACAGTGCTCACTGTATAGAAAGGAAATATCCCTAGGATGATTCTAGATGGTTCTTGGTTCTTTTGCTGGATCCCTGTCTGTCTCCCTTATCCCTATTCTATTAGTAATGGGATTGTCTTCATCCTTTTGGTCACCCCAACTAATACCCACAGATGATTTCCTAATGATTCTCTTATCCGCTGTTCTCTGATCACTTATTTAGTCTCTGTCTACAATACCTTTCCTCCTTGCCTCCCCATTTCTACTACCATTTCCCCTAATTTAGGTCATTTCCTCCTACCTTTAGTTTCAGTAAAAATCTACTTGATCACTTCCACCAGTTGCTCTCCCTACCAAGTACTCCTATGTACTATGGCTGAATTATTAAACTTCCTAAAGCACCAGCCTTGCCATTAATGGATTCCCATTTCCTCCATTATAAATTCCAGACTCTTTCACCTGGACTTCAGTCTTTTACCATTTAGCTTCTAATAATCTTCCTCTGACCTTCGTCTGTACCCCTATTCCTAATTCATTCCAGCCAGACTGGACTAAGCCTCTAAAGGCACTTCCCTTGCCTCTCTTACCTTCTTAAAACCCTTTTCCATACATCTAACTCTATCTGCCTTTCAAGAGCTGGCTTTTATGCCACTTTTTTCTTGAATTCTTTCCTGATCTCAGGTCTCTTTCCCTTTCACCCTCTTAGCCAGGAGTGATTGTTCCCTCTTCTGAATTCCCTTCTGCCCCTTGTGGGTTTCTGATCTTGACTATAAGCCATTTATACATCTTGGTATCTCCCACAGCAGCTAATATTAGGTACTCAGTAGGTGTTTATTGAGTAAAAGAATTGTATATTCACTATGTGTTCATTATAACATAATAGGCTTAAGCTCAGCCAGGGTAGAAACTATGACAATTTCATTCCCATCCTGTATTTTCAACCCCTAGCAAAGAGAAAGCACTCAGTAAACATTTGTTAAATGAAATACATCACAGTTATCACTTATTGGGATATAAATTTCCTCGTGACACAGTAGATGTCTGGAAATACTACTTTATGTTATATTTTTTTAAATCTTAATTACCAATGCTTCTTCATTTTATATTGACAAATGCTCTAAGATAAAGGCCATGTATTAATATTCTCACTTTACAGAAGAGGATACTGAGGCTTAAAGAAATTAAGTAGTTTATTTATGATCATACGGCCAATGAGTAACAGAATTCAGTCTAAAATTCAAGTCTTCAGATGTGAATTTTAGAGTTTTTCCTGGCTAACAATGCTTTGGCCAAAGGTTAGTTTGGTTCCATTTGCTTTAGAATTGTTGGGGTTAAACTATTGCTACCATGCTGGATGGAATAGAACTAGATCCTGATTGACCCATTGTCTGTATGTTGGATGTTTTCAAAATCAAACAGAACACTAAAACTATTTTCTGGGGGTGCCTGGGTGGCTCAGTCGGTTAAACGTCTGACTTCGGCTCAGGTCATGATCTCACAGTTCATGGGTTCGAGCCCCACGTCGGGCTCTGAGCCTGGAGCCTGCCTCAGATTCTGTGTCTCCTTCTTCTCTCTCTGCCCCTCCTCCACTCGTGCTCGCTCGCTCTCTCTCTCTCAAAAATAAATAATAAACATTAAGAAAAAATTTTTAAAGGAGCCCTTAAAAAAAGACAAACTATTTTCTGAAAGAAATCTTGGCCACTTATGTCACTCCCTCCAAGGTGAGATGCCTGTCTTTTCAGACACTCTTCTCTTTGTAGGCTCCTGTCCCTGGTTGGGTTGGCTGTTAAGATGTAGGTCTGATTTCAGTATAGAGAGTAGGTCTCCAGGTATTTGCCAGGCAGTACAGTCTGGTTGGTACTCACCACTACTCATTGAGAGCAGGGGGAAGAGATTGAGGGAGACTTGCTTGATGCGCAAGCAGTCATTCCACTTTCCAGTCATTCCATCTTCATATTTACTCTTAAGTCAGATCAGCAGCAAACTGAGCTCCTAGCCTCCATAGACTTGTTTTTACTAGACTCCTGTTTATTCATTTGCCTTCAGACTGGCAAATTATAAGAGACTACTTCATCTCTCATAAGAATTATTCATTATGATATACCATGTCTTTTAGGAAAATTTCTTGGGGCACCTGGGTGGCTTGTCGGTTAAGCCTCTGACTTCAGCTCAGGTCATGATCTCACGGTTCATGGGTTTGAGCCCCCATCGGGCTCTGTGCTGACTGCCAGCTCGGAACCTGGAGCCTGCTTCGGATTCTGTGTCTCCCTCTCTCTGTGACCTTCCCCAGCTCTCTCTCTCTCTCAGAAACAAATAAAGCATTTAAAAAAAAAAAAAAAGGAAAATTTCTTGAAAGAAAACTGTCTAACCTTAATACAAAGAATGCTTTTACCTCTCCTGAGCAATTGCTTTGTTTTTACCTTGTGGACATTGTGAATGTTTAACTTAATACTCTCTGGTTAGCTGCCAAAAACCTTAGAGCCAAATTTGTGGCCCACCCATAGCAACTGTGCTCTATGCCTCGTTAAACTTTGTTCCAGGCTCCAGTTTATGTCTCTCCTGAAGTTATTCTCTTTTCTTAAGAAAATCTTAAGATTTAGGGCCACCTCATGGCTCAATCAGTTAAACATCCAACTTTGGCTCAGGTCATGATCTCATGGTTTGTAGCTTCGAGCCCCTCATCTGGCTCTGCGCTGACAGCTCAGAGCCTGGAGCCTGCTTTGGATTCTTTGTCTCCTTCTCTGCCCCTCCCCCACTTGCACTCTGCCTCTCTCTCAAAAATAATCATTAAAAAAATTTTTTTAAAGAAAAGAAAATCTTAAGATTTGTTCATGCCATCTTATTTTGTGTATGTATATATATATTTCTCATAAACGGCCTTATATTGTTTCTCAAATAGTTCAGATTATTATATACTATATGCACATAAAACCATCTTCGGTGCTTCTTAATTACCTCATTTACTTTAGGGTCTTTTTTTCTTGAGGGGTATATTTATTTTTTCTTATAGGTTTTTGCAGAGTTTTGATTACAGAAAAATGGCTGTGCCACAAAATTTTATTATTTTAGTAGTGTAATCAAATGGTAAAATACCCGGTCTAATGGCCAGAATTGATTTAATTGATTATTCTACCCCAGTCTTTCACAGAAATGATATTATTTTCTTATAATATGCTTTGTTTTATACTCTCACTCGGCATGTGACCGTTTATTGCTTTGTGATTTTTAGTGATGTTGTAATGCTGCCAGGTCAGTGCACAGCAGTTAACTCTCTCTGGCTCAAATATTATGTTACCTTCCACACTTATCAGACTTCTTGCCTTTGTTAGCACCTTACCTTTGGTGATCAGGGGCATATTAATCTTATCATATACTTTGTCTCTCTGTACTCTAAGTTAGTCATGCTTTTGTTTGGACAAGATAATATGAAGAGATGTTTGCTTCCAAACTTTACTTGCTTTCACTGGTGTGGAGCACTGTGTAGATTTTCTGATCATCTTACTAATACCATTGAGTTAATAATATAAATGTTATTGCTACAACATTTTATGTTCTTTTAATACCTTCAAGTAAAATTATTTGCCCTTTTTGGAACTCACTGAGGCACATAAGGAGATATATACCCTTTTTACAGACAACAAAAGCAAGGACAAAATCATTTAAATTTTGTGATAAAACTAGGGCTAGATCCAGGTCTCCTGATTCCTGTGCCTTACTACCTTTCAATGATAAAAATTTCTAACTTATAAATATTACATAGTCTTTATCTTACCCCTTGAGGTTAAAGCTGAGAAATGGATGAGAAGTACTAGATCACTCATGCTCACAGCTGGGCAGAATCAGGAATGTTTTTCATTTGTATTACTCTCATGGTTTTCTGTTCTTGAAATTGTAGTTCCTTTCATTTATTTTTTTTTAAGTTTATTTATTTATTTTTTGAGAGAGAGAGAAAGCACAAGCAGGGAAAGGGCAGACAGAGAAAGGGAGACACAGAATCCGAAGCAGGCTCCAGGCTCTGAGCTGTCAGCACAGAGCCCGACATGGGGCTGGAGCCACAAACTGTGAGATCATGACCTGCGCCGAAGTTGGACACTTAACCAGCTGAGCCATCCAGGCGCCCCGTAGTTCCTTTTAACTACAACTCTAATTACTGTCACTTTCCATTATGGAATGAGGAAGCAATATTTTTATCTTATCTCTTGAAAATGTTAAAATGGAAACTATTTCCCCTGTTAATAAGCAACATTTTTCTTTAGACTCTTTGAACAGTCACTTTAATGTAAAAATAATTTGCCATTGTTATTATGCATATTCACTAAAGGACCAAATATATGGTTAATGCGAGGAAGTTTGAAAAACATTTGTTATAATTTTAACCGATCTCTGCATTTAAAGAGGAAGATAAAAATTCATGCTTACTGTTTCAGCATGAAAATTTTCCAAAGTTTTCATTTTAACTAATTGTTAACATACAACCCAGAAGCTAGAATCTCTTGAATGTTTACTCTTAGCCAGCCAGGCATTATTGCCAAAAACTTTACAATTATATTTAATCTTAAAAAAAAAAAAACAACCTGTAAGAGTAGCTACCATTTTACAGCGAGGTATCATATTCAGCAGTAAATATTATCTTCTGCCTCTCCTTCAGCTACTGGAATTTCTGATCAGCCCTGGTCAGTACAAGATGGACCCTGTGGTCTTGAGTTACATGGACAGTCTACTGCGGCAATCAGACGTCTCGCTGTTGGATCCCCCAAGCTGGCTCAATGACCATATTATTGGATTTGCCTTTGAGTACTTTGCCAACAGTCAGTTTCATGACTGCTCTGACCATGTCTGCTTCATCAGCCCTGAAGTTACCCAGTTCATCAAGTGTACCAGCAACAAAGCAGAGATTGCCTTGTTCCTTGAACCCTTGGACCTCCCCAACAAGAGAGTTGTATTTTTAGCCATCAATGATAATTCCAATGAGGCAGCGGGGGGAACCCATTGGAGTTTGTTGGTTTATGTCCAAGATAAAAATAGCTTTTTTCATTATGATTCCCATAGCAGAAGCAACTCGATCCATGCAAAGCAGGTAGCAGAGAAACTGGAGGCTTTCTTAGGCAGAAAAGGAGACAGACTGGACTTTGTGGAAGAGAAAGCCCCTGCTCAACAGAACAGCTATGACTGTGGGATGTATGTGATATGTAACACGGAGGCCTTGTGTCAGAACTTCTTCAGGCAACAGCCAGAATCACTATTGCAGCTACTCACTCCTACATACATCACAAAGAAAAGAGGAGAATGGAAAGACCTCATTGCCAGACTTGCCAAAAATTAGCTATCCAAGAATATTTCCGGCTTTTGAAGTCTCCTCTTTCTGCTCATCCCCATTTATTGGATGGCTGTAATCTCAGTGCCTGAAGGAAGATGCCTCGTAGAGGGAAACTTAGTATTCTTATTTTTCTCTGGAAGAATGTCATCCTCTGCATTATCCACATGGAAAGTTTCATTTTAACCCTAACTTGAAAGCAATATGCTCTGTGAAAGTATCTTGAAGTTACCCATCAAAACCTTAAAACCACGCTGTCTTAACATTTACTAATTCCCTTTTTGTCTCCCTTATTCCTATTGCTTATTCAAAGGAAACACAGTGATGTTTAAAGAAACCAGGTATATGTCATATCCAGAGAAATGCGAGAACATTACAGAAGAACCAAAAGCTTATTGCACAGTCCTACATATTTAAAGAGATCAACTGGCTAAAAGCAGGTCAAGATCTAACCTAATTCAAGATTATTATGAGAATCAGTTATGCAGTTCTGTGATATCTCTTCCATTCACCATGCAGAGGCTTTCCAGGCTGTCTTTGTAACCTTTGCAGATATTTGATAAAGATGATGTTAGCTTATCTTCCCCCACTGGATTCCTGGAATGCTTTAAGAAAGGGGGAATCTTTAATTTCATTAAAATAAATGGCTGTTGAACCTTTTAGTTTGCTCAGTGAATGGGTTGACTTGCTACTCTGCATTGATAACAGCTTTTCTTCACCTTCTCTGTTAGCCATGCACACACTCCTTCCTTTTATATCCAAAGTTCTGTGGTTTTAAAACTCATAGCTGATAACTTCCCACGGTTGCCTGTTGTTTGTAATAAATATTGCTATTTTCTAATAATCATAGTTTTTCCTTTCCTCTCTATCCATTATCTGGCAGAATTGTTTTCAGCTATACCATGGTGATTTCGGGACTATTATTGTATCTGAAACTTGCAAACTAAAAGTTGGCTTATTTTTTGCGATTATAAAGCAGAAAAAGTGACCTTTCTCAACCCTGTCACTTATTCAAAATGCAGACGATGTAATTTTTAAGATATGGAACTAAGAATAAAAAGAAATTCTATCCCTCCTAAATCATTGATGTTTTTTTCTGAGTTGTTTCAAATAATTAAAAACCAGATAATGTGTGGGTACACACATTAATTCTATTCCTAACAAGAATTAGATTGCAGTGCTTATGAGTCTTGAAAACGAAAGATTAGTTTCAGCTGTGAAATTTATTTCATCTCCCTCCCCAACCTAACCTTGCCCCCAGTCCTCACAGCCCAAAATAATCTCACCACTCAGTAACCACAAAGGCAGTTAACTTAGTTACTTTTAGTCCAGCAAGTGGGGGAAAACCACAGTGTAATACAGGTTATACAGCAGGCCCAAGTGAGCATGAGTTGAAACTGAAAGTCTAAGAAAGCTACAAAAAAAGTTTCCATTTCAAGTCAGTATGTTTTGGATAAAAAGGTGACCTAATGAAGATGCAAACAGGAGAAAAAAAGATTAGGAACTGGCAATCAGCCATAGAGGTGAACTAGGCAGGGAAGGACAACAAGAGAAGTGACATGGACTGCTGAGGCCATGAATGTAGATAAAGATAAGAAGACAATATTATTTTAGTAACTGTTTACTTAGGTATCTAGTCTAGACCATGAAAGAGTCCAATGCTCTCTGGGAAAAGCTGTTCCGAGAGTGCCAAGTATGTCTGTTTAAATTCAGATTGTCTCCCTCTTACAAATTAATACATATGAGAGCAATCTTTCCTGACTCCCTAAAAGTCATCCCAGAAATAATTATTTTTTAAACTAAACTAGTAAAGTATTTTTTTGAAAAAATCTGAGGTCTCCTTTTCCAAATGCATAACGTGGTTGGACTATGCCACAAGTTAGTCTTCTATAAAACTTTTGAGTATGGCATTTTTAAATATTAGCATTATAAATGACAAGAGACTTTAGTGTTGACTTGTAATATTTCACTAGATACTATAATAGCCATAGGTCATGTACTTGCTTGACCATACACCATTGGTGCTATGTGATACAAAATAGGGAAAAGATCTTTTGTGGTATTGTTTCCTTTTCTCAGAGTCAAAAGAACTCAGTCTGCAAAATGCCGCTTCAAGATTTTTAAAAGGAAAGCAAATTTTTCAGAATTGGATTGAGCAATTGCTATACTGAACTTCCCTGCTTTCAAATACCCTGCTGTATTGCTCCAAAAGTATATTCATACTTGTCCAACCCGTGTCTCATAGAATTTGGAAAAGTCACCATTTATAAACCCAGCTATAGATGGTGGTCAGAAATAATAAGTTATCAGTGGGCTTTTTTTTTTAATTTGAGTATGGCTGACATATAATGTTATATTAGTTTTAGGTATATAGTGAGCTTTCTTTTTAGTGCTGTTCAAATCATAAATATTTCTCCCCTTTCACTAGATAGCTGTTCAAGTTCCTAATCACTAGTCCTAATTGGATCAGAATAATGAAAAAGTCACAAGTGGATTATATCTCTGATGTAATCAGAATACCTTATTATTTTTACTATAAATTTTATTATCTCCATATTAAACATGTTTTAATAATACATATTTTATTAAATGACAAAGTAGAATTTCTTAGTTGTGGTTATTTACTGATAACTGAAGTTTTTTTCTTCCATCACTCAAAATAGAAACGGGGAAAATACAGACATTTACATGCTGTGCTTATGGGAAAGAGCATGAATGTTTTAAGCAAATTCAAGCCCTGTCTGTTATAAATTTATAGCCCCAGGCAGGTTTAAGATTGAATAGCCTTGGGGTGTTTGGGTGGCTCAGTCTGGTAAGCAGCCAACTCTTGATTTCAACTCTTGAATCAGCCTCAGTGTGGAACCTGCTTGGGATTCTCTCTTTCTCCCTCTGCCCCTCTCCCCAATTTGCACTCTCTCTCACTCTCTTTCTCACAAATAAATAAACTTTTTAAAAAATTGAGTAGTAGTCTCATTTGCAAAATGAAAGTAGTCTGTTTAAGCAAGTACTATAAGGATTAAATATTATATGTAACAAAGCATACAGTAGACACTAAAACCTATTGCCATCTGTCTCACTACCAAGTTCCATTTTAAGTCTAACAATAAGTTTAAAAACTTAGTTAAAAACTTGTTTTGGGGGGGTGGTGCCTGGGTGGCTCAGTCGGTTAAGCATCCAACTTCGGCCCAGGTCATGTTCTCACAGTCCATGGGTTGGAGCCCTGCATTGGGCTCTATGCTGACAGCTCAGAGCCTGGAGTCTGCTTCAGATTCTGTGTGTGTGTCTCTCTCTGCCCTTACCCTGCTCTCTCTCTGTCTCTGTCTCTCAAAAATAAAGACATTAAAAAAAAACTTTTTTTTTTTAAGGATTTTATTTAAGTAATCTCTACATGCAACATGGGTCTTAACCTCACAACCCTGAGATTAAGAGTCACACACTCCCATCAACTGAGCCAGCCAGGTACACCTGAAAAGTTAGTTTTATTTTGTAACTAAACAGCTATATAAAAAATGGCCTGATAATTACTATTATATACAAAAGAGAAAACTTACTCAAGGATTGTAAATGGCAACAACTAATCTTCATATCACTTTATAATGTACAAGTTACTTTATGTTACTAGATATTATAATTACATAATCTCATTTAATTGTCATGTTTTGCCAGGTATCATTATTCTCTTCCTAGATAAGAAACAAACTCAGAGAAGCTCAGTCACATGATTGTGACAGGGCCAAGACTCCCATGCACAGCCTCCATCTCCCTCCTCATACTCTTCCCACCTATTCCTTTCTCCCTCTCCCAGAAATAGTGACCAGAACTCCTTACTTGAACATTTTAAATAATCTTCTCACTTTATACCTGTCATAAATTCAGCTGGTATATTACAACAAGCAATATTGAGAAATTGTCATCTCAATCAACTGCTGGATAGCAGAACCTACATAACTGGCTTTGCCTTATGTATTAGGTCATATTTGGATCAGCTCCTGACATTGATCTACTGATCTAACACATTTTAAAAGTCGTACATCGTACTTCCTCTCAGATTCCATGTATATGAAAAATGGGAAGCAGAAAGAGAGCAGCAGCCTCGGGTATCTCATAAAAATGAGCTTAAAGGAATTTTATTTTATACAAATAAAACGAAGCAAAGATGGAGCACTCTGTACACAAGTGGGAGAAATGAGACAAAAAAAATTCCACTGAGGAAAAATCTGGTGCTAAATGCATGTAAATGAAGTTTTCTTATGTAGGGAAAAGCTAACATGTCAGAGTGTCAAAGGAAATGGAAGCCACCCTCAGTGTCATTGGTAGGAAGAGTTATCAGGAATCTAGAAAAAAATTAGATCCTACAGTTTGTGTTAAAAAACAAATGAGAAGGATAACTTTGTGCCTCTTTTCCTTCTGGATACCGAAACGAAGAAACCTGTGTTTGGAACCTCCTCCCCATGACACAAGCTGGATCAAGGTTTTCTGCACTGGGCGATGCTTCCCTAGCCAGCTCGCCACTGCTCTCCACTGCTGCCACCTCAATCTACATTCCACAAGCCTGCAAAGCCCTTACTTCCTTCTGCACTCTGCAACTTCAGAGAGAAAACAGGAACTATCATGTATTCCTTCAACTTTCCTGACACCGAATCTACGAACCTACCTGTATCTGTACCACTTTTGAGCATTCTGCACTCCTACTGCAGTGACCCTCATAGCAAAAGGCTAATCCCTTAACCTGTACACAGGACCTTGTGCAAACGGTACACACACACAAACACACACACACACACACACCATCATCATCATCCACTCTCACACACACACCATCATCATCATCCACTCTCTCTGCTGGCTCCTTTCCATCAGCACCTGGATGCATAGATGTATTAAGTCTCTCCATCTTTAAAAATAAATAAAGGTATGACCTCATGTCTCCCTCTAGATATTGACCTTTTGCTTTCCTCCTCTTTAACAGCAAGATTTAAAGTGTCAATTTCTCACCTCCCTCCCACTTCTCAAACCACTTTAATCTAGATTCTGCTCCCACCACTGTACAAAACTTCTCAATAAGATCACTTCTGATCTTTGACTAGTCTTCCCAGTAACATTAAACCCTTCTTTTCAAGCCACTCTTCCTTTAATTGATGTGACACCTAGTTTCCTTAGTACTTCTCTGACCACTCTTTCTTATTTGCCAGTTTCTTCCCAACTTATTAGAGATTCTCAGGGTTTTGTCCCCAAGGCCCTCTTCTCATTCTATACACACTTCCTAGGCTCTCCCAGCCATTCACCAGGCCAGTGATAGTCGGGTGCCTCTGACCTTGGGCACTTCTCTCCTGAACTCTTCCAAAATTCTACCTGTATATCCTTTTACTGGACATCTTCCCTTGGATATTTCATAAGTAACTTGAACCCAGCAAATCCTAAAGCACAACTCCTCCTCCCCCATCATCAAACCTACTTCATCAGTATTCATTCCCTACCTCAGGAAATGACACCACTACTCACCCAATTCTAGCCAGAAATCTAGGAGTCACCCCTGACTTGTGTGTGTCTCTCTCACATGCCACACCTATCAATCTCCAAGTCATGTTCGTTCCATATCTTAAATATCCTTTAAATTTGTGTATTTCCCTCTATCGCCAATGCCACCACTCTAGTCCAAA